TCCTTTCCTCTCCCTCCCTCCCTCCTTCCTTTCCTCTCCCTCCTTCCCTCCTTCCTTTCCTCTCCCTCCTTTCCTCTCCCTCCCTCCCTCCTTTCCTCTCCCTCTTTTTCCCCTTTCTCCCTCCTTTCCCACCTGAGAGATATTCCATTGGTTGGTTTCTCCATCTCAGCCTGGAGAGGAGAAGGTTGTGTGGAGAACTCAGAGCACCTCCCAGTGTCTGAAGAGGCTCCAGGGAAGCTGCATTGGGAATCTGTTAGGAACTGCAGTGACAGGACAAGGAATAATGGAGAGAAACTGAAATAGGAAGAAAATACAACATCGAAGTGGATATTTGGGAAACGAAGGTGTAGAACTGCATATGCTGATTAAATGCATCTCCTTCCCTCCATTTGTAAAGAAACAGTTCTTGAATACAGAAAAAAAAATATTCTAAATGATTGCAATGAAAATGCCAAGAAATCAGCTTATTTTTTCAGCCCATCATGGCACAAACTGTTTGGTGCTTGGGAGGAACTTAACCTCCAGGTTGTGCAACTTTTGCAGTTTTGCTTTCTAATGAAGTGGGAAGGAACTGTTTGAGTCATTGCTGGGCTATGGCACAGGGAGTTAAAGGATGTGGTGTAATCACAGCTGGATCTCACTTCCTGCATGGGAATGTTCATCTCAGCCATCAGTTACCCTGCTCACAGCCTGCAGCAGGAAGCACCACGAGCCAACTGCTTTCTTGGGAAGGAATGTGTTTGGATAACATTCTCCTGTAAAGACAGGCTGACCCTATAAAACAAGCTGAGGAAGTTGGGTCTGTTCAGCCTGGAGAAGACAAGGTTGTGTGGAGACCTTGGAGAATCTTCCAGGAGCTGAAGAGGCTCCAGGGAAGCTGCAGAGGAACTGTTGGTTAGGAGCTGCAGGGACAGGACAGGGAGGAATGGGGAGAAATTGAAAGAGGAAATTTAGATTAGATATTGGGAAGAAATTCCTCCCTGTGAGGGTGGTGAGACACTGGCACAGGTTGCCCAGGGAGGCTGTGGCTGCCCCAATCCTGTCACTGTTCATTCCAGGTTGGCTGAAGCCTTGAGCATCCAGATCTGGTGGGAGATGTCCCTGCCCAGGGCAGGGGGTTGGGACTGGATGAGCTCTAATCTCCATCCCATCCCCATAACATACCATGATCCTATAATTTCAGGAGATAAGCAATGTCAGTGTCACCTGCACTTGCTCAGATGTTTGATGCTTGTGGATTATATAAGCTATACAAGTTTTAGGGTGAAATTAGGACAAGGTTCTTCCCCCAGAGGTGTTTGGACCCTGGAACAGCTCCCCAGGGCAGTGGTCACAGCCCCAAGCCTGAAGGAGCTCAAGAAGGGTTTGGACAACACTCTGAGGCACAGGATGGGATTGTTGGGGTGTCCTGGGCAGGGCAGGAGTTGGCTCAATGGTCCATGTGGGTCCCAATCCCTTACCATTCAGTGACTCTGTGTGAAGGATTTGGGGTGGGGGTTGCCTGTCTGTGGTCCCTGAGCTAGGCAGTGGTCACAGCCCCAAGCCTGAAGGAGCTCAAGAAGGGTTTGGACAACACTCTGAGGCACAGGATGGGATTGTTGGGGTGTCCTGGGCAGGGCAGGAGTTGGCTCAATGGTCCATGTGGGTCCCAATCCCTTACCATTCAGTGACTCTGTGTGAAGGATTTGGGGTGGGGGTTGCCTGTCTGTGGTCCCTGAGCTAACTCCCTGCCCTTTCCCCCAGGTGTTGCAGACCTTGGGCACAGAGACATATCGGCCCAGCTCAGCCTCCCAGTGTGTGGCTGGAATTGCCTGTGCAGAGATCCCCATGAACCAGTGGCCAGAGCTCATCCCTCAACTGGTGGCCAACGTCACCAACCAGCACAGCACGGAGCACATGAAAGAGTCCACGTTGGAGGCCATTGGATACATCTGCCAGGACATTGTGAGTGCAGTTCTGTGCTGTTTGAAGGGTTGTTGTGTCTCCTCAGCACCTTTGCTTTTCCTTTCTCACACCTCTGCTTGGGCTTGGAGCTCTCCGGGGAGAGTTAGGGTGGGTATTAGGGAAAGGGAGTTCATCCAGAGGCTGTTTGGGCCCTGGGACAGGGTTAGGTTGGATATCAGGACAAGGTTCTTCCCCCAGAGGTGTTTGGGCACTGAACAGCTCCCCAGGGCAGTGGGCACAACCCCAAGGCTGACAGAGCTCCAGGAATGTTTGCCCAATGCTCTCAGGCACAGGGTGGGATTGTTGGGGTGTCTGTGCAGGGCCAGGAGTTGGACTGGATGAGATGCCTCATCTCTGGAGGTGTTTTCCCCATCCTTACAAGTGTTCCAGGTCAGGTTGGATGGGGCTTGGAGCAACCTGGGCTGGTGGAAAGTGTACCTGTCCATAGCAGTGGGTTGGAACTAGATGAGCTTTAAGGTTATTCCAACCCAAACCATTCCATGATTTTATGATCCTTGGGTTTCCCTTCCAGCTCAGGATATTCCATGATTCTTTGCCTTGATCTTGGAGGGCTTTTCCCACCTGAAGAGTCCATGATTCCAGGAGGGTGTGATGCTCCCTAGTGCTGTCCTGTGTCTAATCCTTGCTGGGGATGTCTGTGCTGACAGAACCCTTGGAGCACACCCAGGGATAGTGCCTGGAAGGACTGACCTGCTTTCCCAGCACAAATCCAGGTCATCTTTCCTAAGGAGCAGCTTGAAGTCTCTGTGTCACTGTGGCCACACGAGGCTGGTGTCAAACTTCAGCTTCTCATCCAAATATCACAGCAAATAATGATCAGTGTTTGATACCTTTCTGCTCTGGGCAATCCTGAGCTTCATCTGGCTAGGGATACTCTGGATTTAGGGAGTAGGAAGAACATTTAGCTCTTGGAGGCACTTCCTACAGAAGCTTTGGTGAGTTCATCAGGACTTTGCAGCCTCTGGTGTGAGATTGGGTGGAAAACTCTGTGTCCTGCCTGAGCTGCCACCGAAAAACAGAGTTTGCTCCTGACTTTTTGTGGTGGCACTGAGTGTCCTGGAGAAGGTCCCCGTGGTGTGTCCCTGCTGGATCCTCAGTGCAGTGAGGCAAGGAGGGAAATGTTGTGCTTGGAGCTTCATTTGGCCTCAGGTTGGTTTCACTTGGGAGAAAAGTGACATGAGAGGAAATCCATGTGGGGAATCCTGAGTCCCTGCAAGGCTGGAGTGCCTGATCCTGCTTTTTTTTTTGAGTGGAACTTCCTGCTAACCTCTGGATTTTGGCTCTTTTCCAGCTTATATTTGTTTTTATAAGATTCCCCTAACTAAACCATATAATAACTAACTAAAACTCTATAAACAGAACTAATATTCTATAGATATAACTCCTATACTCTGTATTTAACCAATGTATCACATATAACACAAACATATATTATATAAACTGTATAAAAGTGAGAAATAAACCTCTAAGTTATAGCACTGTGACACAATTTGTGACCATATTTTGGGCATCTCAAATTTCTCTGTTGGCTAAATCCTGAGGTAACAATTCATCCAGTTATTTGTGAATCCTTCAGCCTTAGATTGACCTCAAAGAAAAATGAATATTGAGTGTATATTCATAGCTTTATTCTTTATCTGTTACCTGCTCAACTCTCTTTTTGAGGCCTTAAAAATAACTGTTGCACAGTTATTTAACAATTTCCTGTCCAAACACTGAAATTTTGGCCTTACACCTAAAAAGGTTTGGCAAATTTACCAGTTAAAGCCTCACCCAGAGCTGGTGCAAAGCTCTGCCCAATCCATAGCCATAAATTACTTGGAGATCAGTGTTTTTTGAGCTTTCTGGATGAATGAAGTCAAGCCCTGAAGCTTGTTGGCTTAGGTTTGATCCAGTGAGGTTTAGTTGGCATTTGTGACTTGAATATCTGAGTGTTTGTGCTTTTCCCATCTCAGAAGCTGCAAAGATGTTGTGGTAGAGGAATTCCTTGGATTTCTCAGGGAACAAATGACTCCTTGGCTTTATATCCTACTTGTAGACACCAGGATTGAGCTTGGAGGGTATTTGAATGTATGGAAAAAGCTGTTGAGGTGATGAATAACTTTGTCTTCATTCAGGATCCAGAGCAGCTCCAGGACAAATCCAATGAGATCCTGACAGCCATCATCCAGGGCATGAGAAAGGAAGAGCCCAGCAACAATGTGAAGTTAGCAGCTACCAACGCACTCCTGAACTCTTTGGAATTCACCAAAGCAAACTTTGACAAAGAGGTGAGGAGGGAACAAGCCTTGGCCTCCAAATCCCAGGGGGAATCCATGGTCTGTGATGAGGAATCATGCACCACGCTGAGTTTTGATGCATAATCCTGTTCCAGCTGAGACTTGGATTCAGCCCTAAATCCAGGAGGTTCCTGTAAAGCAGGAATACTGTGGAAATCTTCAATGGAAAGGAAGAATTGGCTCTTTTTTTTTTTTTGGGGGGTTGTATTGGAGCTGACCTTAGAGTTTAGCCTGTTGGATGCTCTGCTGCCTGATCCAGCCCTGTCTGTAAAGCTGCAGCACGAGGACAAGCTTGGATCAGCACTTCCTTTCAAGGGCTGTGGCAGCAATCCAGGTTTCCCTTTGCCTCTGAACAGGGTTGGGGGAGGAAAAGTCTTCCCACCAGAGGCCTCGGGATGAGCCTCTTTGCACAATAGCTAAACCTATTGATTTCTGCTTTGCCTTCTCAGATTAAGTCTATCCCCAAATCTCAAACAGGGAGAGTGTGGAATTAATATTGAACCTCAAGCTTAGAAGAGGTTTTTAATGGCAACTCTCCCTCAGCTCCTCAGAGGGTGTTGAGGAACATCAAGTGATGCTTGGAATTGGGGGTGGGAGGTACATGGTCCATTCAGGCTGTGCTTTTGCTGAGTTCAGACCTGTAAATAGGCTGATTAGGGCAAAATAATTACTTAAATCCCTTCCTTCCTACCCAAACGGGAGTGTCCAAGTGCTGCCCCTCAAGAAATACATGTCCTGACATGAGTTTCCTGGAAGACATTGCTGAAATGGTTCAGGGAACAGCAGGATTTGGGTTTTTCTCCCCCTCAAAGCTGTGTCTTTAGTGCTCCTCTCTTTCTATTTTGGTTCAGCCTTTGAAATGGCAGTTGGGAATTCCCATTTTGGGGCAGAAATGGTTTCAAACAGTGCAGTGAGTAGTGCCCTGTGCTGTCCTTGGAACTTCAGAAGTGCTTCAAGAGTGCCTTGGCCTAGCCCAGCCACAAACCCACCCTCCCCAGGAAGCCTTGCAAAGCCTCAAAATGCTTTTGTCAGACATTTCTAACATCCTTTTCATTTCTTTTTTTTTCCCTAGTCTGAAAGGCACTTTATTATGCAAGTAGTCTGTGAAGCAACACAGTGTCCAGACACAAGGGTGAGTGAATTCTTGGGGTTGTCTCTGTACCTCTCTGGGACAGCTGTGGGGAAACTCTGAGGCTGAAAGAAGCAGAACTATGTGAAGTGCTGTTTTTTCCTCTCCCTCAGGTACGAGTTGCTGCCTTACAGAATCTGGTGAAGATTATGTCCCTTTACTATCAGTATATGGAGACCTACATGGGCCCTGCCCTGTTTGCTGTGAGTACTCAGCTTTCTCTGCTCTGTTCTCCATGTTCTCCTCTATCCTAACTCATTTAAAGAGTTTCCTTCCATTCCTGTTTACTCTTTCCTTGGCAGCAAATCCTTTCCTGGATGCAGTGAATCCTTCAGCAAACCCCTAAATGGATTTTAACCTCCCTAAGATGTTTCAGACCTGAGACTCCAAAAGCTGAGGCAGTTCTGTTTGCTGTTGTGCCCTGCAGCTCTCCCAGGGGGCTCAGGGCTGGTAAACTTCCACATAGGATTGTTCCCAAGAACAATAACTCCAATGAGGCATCCAATTTCAGACAATCTGGAATCTCCTACTGGCTGGCCAGAGTTGGGACATGTATTTCAGGAGGAATAACTTACTAAAGTGGCCTTTTCTCCTTGTTTTCTTTCTAAAATGGCCTTTTCTCCTTGTGTTCCTGGTTCTGCAGATAACTATTGAAGCAATGAAAAGTGACATAGATGAAGTGGCTCTGCAGGGAATCGAGTTCTGGTCCAATGTATGTGATGAGGAGATGGACTTGGCCATAGAGGCCTCAGAGGTGAGTTCCCTGGAAAGGGTTGGATGCCTGTGAGCAGTTTGGGAATGCTAAAATATCTCAACACCTGAACATCCTCCTGTTCTTCCAAGTTGGATAGTGTAGGAGAGCTCACCTGAGTCCTCAGGGACAGCACTGATCTCTGCTCTGGTGACCAGTACAGGGCACAAGGAATGGCTGGAGCTGTGTCAGGGGAGGATTGGGATGGATTTTAGGACAAGGTTCTGCCCCCAGAGGTGTTTGGGCACTGAACAGCTCCCCAGGGCAGTGGGCACAGCCCCAAGGCTGACAGAGCTCCAGGAGTGTTTGGATAACACTCTCAGGCTCAGGGTGGGATTTTGGGGTGTCCTGGGCAGGGCAGGAGTTGGATCATGATCCTTATGAATCCCTTTCAGGATATTCCATAGTTCTGTGACAGGATATGATGCATATCTGTGCGAGCTCAGAGACCTGAGGCAGCACAGAGCCCTCGGGGCTGACTCTGGGGGTGTCACTGCACCATCAGCACAGACTTGGGGTCCCCAGAGTAGTTTCTAGCTCTTTGCTTGGCTGCTGACACTTTCCTTGCCCAGTGGTCAGGTTATTCTGCTCCCCAGGGTGAATGTGAGGCTGTAGCTGAGGTGGAATTCCCTTTAATCAGAGAATCATATCATGGATTGGGTTGGAAGGACCTTCAATCCCATCCAGTTCCACCCCTAGGGACACCAGCCCCTAGCCCAGGTTGCTCCAAGCTTCATCCAACCTAACCTGGAACACTCCTAGTGCCTCCTTACCCTTGTAGGAACAAATTTGGGTCGTTTTGTAGCTTAATGTAAAGCTCTTAGTGAAGTTTGACTCTGCCTTTTCCCTTCCTAGCTGTGCTTAGGCTGAGCTGCCTTTCCAAATGAACAAAAACCCACTCTGAGCCTGACTGGGAATGGAGATAAAGCCTCAGTGACAGGTTTGATGAGAACAGGCTGTGACATACAAGTGCTGGTTCTCTGCCAACACTACCTGACAGCTACCTGATTCCTTTTTAGCATTCCAAACCAAACTCCAGCTGTAAGCTTAACCTAAATGTGCATTAAGCATGTATTCCAGGCCACAGATTCTCAGTGCCATGAAAATCTTGGAGCTGTTGCTCTTCAAGAGTGTCTTGATTTATATCCCTCATGGAATAAAAGAGCATTTCTTTAATCACCTCCTGGTTTGAGGGTCTAGGGGTGTCTTTAATGGAAGATTTTGCAGGTGTTGAAGGGCTTAGTCCTCCCCCCAAAAAAATCCTGATCACTCTAATCCATTATTTATGAATGAAATATAAAATTAGGGCTGAAATAAAAGCAATTATCCCCTCAAATGGATGAGGCTGGAGAGGAATTTGGGGTATTGTTCTGCATGCAGATGCTGTTTGCATAAATTAGCTGGGGAGATCAATAATAGCTGAAACTTTGAAGGGCTCTAGATGAATCAGATCCATCTTTAAATATCTATTTATGTTGGATACCCCAAAAAAACCAACCAAAAACAAGGATAAAAGGACAGGCAGCAGTTTGTCTTATTTGCTCAAGACCTTTTGCTCCTTCACCTTGAGGTCACTTGTTAATTACACCTGACTGGAAACTGAAAATAGTGATAATTGTAGCCTGTGAGAGGATCTCTATGTGCATGGAATGGGAAATGAAACTTGATTTTTTAAGCATTTAACTAGGGGCAGAGTGTCCTTGAGGTTCCTGTGAGTTCTGGTGAGTTCCAACTTGGCTTGGGAAGGAGAGGGAAGCATAGGGAGAGAATTTGTGTCTCCTGCAGTTCAGAATTCAACTCTAAAGCCACTAAAGTAAATTTTTCACCCTCTTTTTTGTGTTTTTTTTTTCCAGGCAGCAGAACAAGGAAGACCTCCAGAGCATACTAGCAAGTTCTATGCTAAAGGGGCACTTCAGTACTTGGTGCCTATCCTAACACAGACATTAACAAAGCAGGTGAGTTCCCAAGCCCTGAGGAGTGTCCAGGCTCAGGTGCTGTGTCTGCTCTGAGGGGCTGGAGCAAAGGAGATGCTGTTGAAGGGGGAGTTGGTGTCAGGGTGGTCTTTGCTCCCTTGGGAAGTGAGTTCATGGAATCCTCAAGGTTGGAGGAGAACTCTAAGATCATCAGGTCCAACCATGAACCTGTCACTGCTGGAACCTCTAAACTCTAAATCATATCCTGCAGTGCCAGATGCAGATGCCTCTTAAACACCTCCAGGGATGGTGACTCCACCACCTCCCTGGGCAATATTCCAGTGCCTGACCACCCTAACAGGAAAAAAAAATTCCTCACATCTAATGTGAATCTCCTTGGGCACAGCTCAGTGTCCCTGTGCAGAGCTCCTGGGAAGCCTCAGGTGCTTCCTGCAGCTTGGCACAGCCAGACTGGGCAGCTAACTGTGTGCTCTGCACCCTCCCTGGCACAGCCAGCCAGGATGGGCTTGGAACCACCCAAAAACCACTCAGAGAACCCCAGGAAGCACTTAGAGGTCTCCTCCAACCTTGAGGATTCTGTGATTCTCTAAGATCATCAAATCCAACCATCAACCTGTCACTGCTGTAACCTCTAAACCCTAAACCATATCTTCCAGCCCCAGGAGTTGTGGCTCCAGGAGGTCCCAGAGGTGTTCCAGGCAGTCCTTGGTCAGTGATGAGACATCATGCACCACTCTGAAGGAATGATGCATCAGTGTTAGGGCTGAGACTGGGGATTGCCTGCAGCAGCACTTTCCTGCTGGATTCTCTTAACACATCCCTGGATTTATGGTTCCTGGGAGAGATTTAGAGTTAAATGGATTCCTAACAAAATATCTGGGAAACCAAACCCAATATAATACAATCTCTGTATCATCTGAGATCCAATCCCTGAAATTTTAGAGCTTTCCCTCTTGCCTGTGTTTGTTTAGCATCTGTTAAACACTTCCCAGGGCCTTGTTTGGGCTGTGCTTCATAGCCTAATCAAAGCTAATGGAACCACTTGCTACAGCAGGTGTAATTATAAAATAAAACTGTTAATTAAGCCATGCAGGACAGAGTTCATTTGCCTAGGAGAATGCTTGGAGCTCTGGTTGAACGCAGGAAATTGTTTCCCTGTTTGTTTCTCATCTGAGTTAAATTGCAGGAGGTTCTCAAGGGCTTGTTAAAGCAGGAGGGAGAAAACAGGTGAATCACAGGTTGGAGCTTCAGAGGGTTCAAGAGCCTGAGCTTGGTTGGGGGAAGGAGCTATTAACTGGTGCAGGAGCCACTCTGGGAGGGATGGCATGGATTAAAAGGATGAAAGCTCCAGCTGGATCACAGAGCAGCAGTTTGGGTGGTAGATGAGGCCACTGCAGGTGCTCAGTAGAGCTCTCAGCCTTACCCCAGGGCTGGAAAGGTGCAAGAGCTTGGGTTGCTGCTCTGCCAGAGATGGTCCAGACTAGCATTGAGTTCTAGATCCAACACCTGGTCCCAAACCAGTGTTATTTCCATGACACTTGTGGGTGGGAAGGGCTTTCCTCTAGTCCCAAACCAGTGTTACTTCCACATCTCCCAGGGATGGGAAGGGCTGTTTTCCTGGTCCCAAACTAGTGTTACTTCCACAGCTCCTGTGGGTGGGAAGAACTATTTCCCTGGTCAGAAACCAGTTACTTTGTGATCTCCTAGGGATGGGAAGGGCTGTTTTCCTGGTCCCAAACTAGTGTTACTTCCACAGCTCCTGTGGGTGGGAAGGGCTTTCCCCTCGTCCCAAACCAGTGTTACTTCCACAGCTCCTGTAGGTGGGAAGAACTATTTCCCTGGTCCCAAACCAGTGTTACTTCCAGTTCTCCTAGGCATGGGAAGGGCTGTTTCCCCTGGTCCCAAACCAGTGTTACTTCCATGACTCCTGTGGGTGGGAAGGGCTTTCCCCTGGTCCCAAACCAGTGTGATTTCCAGATGTCCTAGGGATGGGAAGAGCTATTTCCCTGGTCCCAAACCAGTGTTACTTCCATGGCTCCTGTGAGTGGGAAGGGCTGTTTCCCCTGGTCCCAGACCAGTTATTTCCATGACTCCTATGGGTGAGAAGAGCTATTTCCCCTGCTCTTAAACCAGTGTTATTTCCATGACTCCTGTGGATGGGAAGGGTTATTTCCCTGGTCCCAAACCAGTGTTACTTCCACAGCTCCTATGGGTGGGAAGAGCTGTTTCCCCTGGTCCCACACCAGTTATTTCCATGACTCCTGTGGGTGGGAAGAGCTGTTTTCCCTAGGCTGACTAGGGTTGCTGTTGCAGGATGAAAACGATGATGATGATGACTGGAACCCCTGCAAAGCAGCAGGAGTGTGCCTCATGCTCTTAGCCACCTGCTGTGAGGATGACATTGTCCCTCACGTCCTGCCCTTCATCAAAGAACACATCAAGAACCCTGACTGGAGGTACAGGGACGCAGCTGTCATGGCCTTTGGGTGTATTTTGGAAGGGCCAGAGCCCAACCAGCTCAAACCTCTAGTAATACAGGTGAGTTTTGGGGGAGGGTTGGGAGGTTTGTACTGCTAAAAGTCACTGGGGGGTTTGGTGGAGGAGACCTTGGGCAAACTATTAAATCCTGGAGATCTAGATCCCTTGAGATCACTCTAAATCTTGGAGTCATCTTTAGATCACTAAATCCTGGAGAGCTGCAGGATTTGAGATAACTCGTAAGTCCTGGAGTGATCTTTAGATCTCTCTGAAGCCTGGAGGGCTGCAGGACTTTACATCTCTCTAAATCTTGGAGAGCTGCAGGACTTTAGGTCTCTCCAAATCTTGGAGTGCTGCAGGACTTTCTTGGAGAGCTGCAGGACTTTAGATCTCTCAAAATCTTGGAAAGCTGCAGGATTTCAGATCTCTCCATGTCTTGGAGAGCTGCTGGACTTTAGATCACTCCAAGTCTTGGAGAATTGCAGGACTTTAGATGTCTAAACCCTGGAGAGCTGCAGGACATTAGATCTCTCCAGATCTTGGAGAGCTGCAGGACTTGAGGATCCCTGACTGCAGGTGCCTCAACTCTGAAGTTTTACCCCTGGAAAACAACTTAATGAAGCTTAACATAGCAGAACACAAAGCTTAAAGTAGCAGAAGTGTGGCCTAGTGTGTCCTGTCCTCCTCACACCGTTGAGAGCTCCGGGGGAGACTCATTACAAGTAGAAATGGTGGTGAATTCTCCATCAGTGATGCCAATCTCTTTCTCCTGGCTGTGTTGTGCTGCAGGCCATGCCCACACTAATAGAGCTGATGAAGGACCCCAGCGTGGTGGTGCGGGACACGACGGCCTGGACCGTGGGCAGGATCTGTGAGATGTTGCCCGAGGCAGCCATCAACGACATTTACCTCGCGCCGCTGCTGCAGTGCCTCATGGAGGGGCTCAGTGCCGAGCCCAGGGTGGCCACCAACGTCTGCTGGGTGAGCAGCACCCCCAGGCTCTGGGGTACAATGGTATCAACAAGGGAATGCAGCTCCGAAGGTTGGGAATGAGCTTTAAGGTCATCGAGTCCAACTGTTGTGTCATCACCAAACCATGTCCTCAAGTGCCACGTTGATGTGGGATTTTTGGACGTTTCCAGGGTTGGGGGCTCCTAACACTGCCCTGGGTAGTTTGTTCCAATGCTTGGCAACCTTTTCCATGAGGAAAGTTTCCCTATAGGTTTTCCCTGGCACAGGTTGAGTTTGCTCTCATCTTGTCACTTGTTTCCTAGGAGAAGAACTCAACCCTGATGTGGCTCCAAGCTCCTGGCAGGAGGTTATGTGGATATATATAGATGCAAATTCATATATATAGATGCAAATTGATATATATGCATACAAATTGATAGATCTGAACACAAATTAATACAGATTAATTAATACAGATGCATATGAGTACTAATCTGGTGAGGCCACACCTTGAATCCTGTGCTCAGCTCTGGGCCCCTCAGCTCAGGAGGGACATTGAGGGGCTGGAGCAGGTTCAGAGCAGAGCAGTGAGGCTGGGGAAGGGACTGGAGCACAAGTGCCATGAGGAGAGGCTGAGGGAGCTGGGGGTGTTCAGCCTGGAGAAGAGGAGGCTCAGGGGAGACCTCCTCACCCTCTGCAACTCCCTGAGAGGAGGTTGGAGTCAGGTGGGGGTTGGTTGGACTTGACTTGATGACCTTGGAGGTCTTTTCCAACCTGGTTGGTCCTATGATTTTATGAGTTATGTATATACACACCTAACTGGATTTCAGAGCTGATTCTTGCCTTGCTCACCCAGCACTTGACACTAAGTGACCTTGAGTCTGTTTTGTGGCTCTGGTAGAAAAGAAGAAAGGGAGAAAAATGGAGTTTAAGGAGGAAAAAATACAGTATTTATTGAGTGTGGCTTTTCCAACCTGGTTGGTCCTATGATTTTATGAGTTATGTATATACACACCTAACTGGATTTCAGAGCTGATTCTTGCCTTGCTCACCCAGCACTTGACACTAAGTGACCTTGAGTCTGTTTTGTGGCTCTGGTAGAAAAGAAGAAAGGGAGAAAAATGGAGTTTAAGGAGGAAAAAATACAGTATTTATTGAGTGTGGAAGTTGCCTTTGGTTTGTAAATGCTATGGAAAGTGACCTTGGTAACTGCCCCTGCTGCCAGGTGGGGTAACTGCTTGGAAAAGCAATGCTGGGATTTAGGATTTCCTTGGGTGCAGCTGGATTGCCTTAAGGGAGAGCTGAGATCCCATTTTATCCCTCACCTAAACCTCCTCCTGCACTGATTCCTTATGGAGCATGAGATTTTTTTTCCTGTCTTGCTGCAGATCTCCTCCCCATGAGCATGTGTGATCCTCACACATGGGGGATGTGTCCCTCACTCCTCCTGAGAGAGCTCTCAATTAGAGTCGAGCTCGAGATGAAGATTTGCATGTCAAAACAAGTTCTGGGAATGACAGGAGTGATTCTTTTAGCCTTCCAGTGGTTTAAAGACTCATCAGCACAGGAGGTTTTCCCTGTCACAAGTCCATGTAGCTGTGGCTTTTGTCTCCTGAAGTTGATGACTACTATATGTTTGCAGATTCCAAGGAGAATCAGGAAGCTTTGAGCTCCTCGAAGCCACCTGTGTCTCTGCACAGCTACAACTGCTCTGGAGTAGTTCATCCTCCACGAGTTTGGGGTTCTGAGAATGCAAACTGATGGAAGAGGTGTTTGTGGACCTGTGAGGGAGTAAAAGCCATGGTGGTTGTGTGTTTGAGGCAGTAACAGCAATGCTGTTGTGTGTTTCAGGCCTTCTCCAGCCTTGCTGAAGCTGCCTATGAAGCTGCAGATGTGGCTGATGATCAGGAAGAACCATCAACCTACTGCTTATCCTCCTCCTTCGAGCTAATAGTCCAGAAACTTCTGGAGACTGCAGACAGGTAACTCTGAACCTCTGCCAAGAGCCTTTTTTCTGGTTCTTCCTTCCTGCAGGCTCCTGTCTCTCCTCTGGCTGCTCAGATCTGAGTGGTGCTGGAGCAGAACTGGGATTGGTGGTGTCACAGGGAATAGAGAATCTCCAGGGGGATAACTCTTCCCACTGAATAATTCCTCAGTCTTTTGGCCAGATCTGTTTGAGGGTTCCTCCTAGAGTGTCTCTGCCCTGTTTGAATCTTACCTGTTTCACTTTGAATCTCTCCTATTTCACTCTGAATCTCTATTTGAATCTCTCCTATTTCACTCTGAATCTCTCCTATTTCACTCTGAATCTCTATTTGAATCTTGCCTGTTTCACTTTGAATCTCTATTCTACTCTGAACGTCTTCTGTTTCGTTTTCAACCTGTTTTACTCTGAACTCTCCTGTTCTCCTTTGAATCTCTTGTTTTACTCTGAATCTCTCTTGTTCAATCTCTATTTTACTCTAAATCTCCTGTATCACTTTGAATCTCTCCTGTTTGACTGAATCTCTTCTGTTTGACTTGGAATCTCTCCTGTTTGAATCTGTATTTTACTCTGAATCTCTCCTGTTTGACTCTGAATCTCTCCTGTTTGACTCTGAATCTCTCCTGTTTGACTCTGAATCTCTCCTGTTTGACTCTGAATCTCTCCTGTTTGACTCTGAATCTCTCCTGTTTGACTCTGAATCTCTCCTGTTTGACTCTGAATCTCTCCTGTTTGACTCTGAATCTCTCCTGTTTGACTCTGAATCTCTCCTGTTTGACTCTGAATCTCTCCTGTTTGACTCTGAATCTCTGTTTTACCTTGAATCTCTGTTTCACTCTGGTCTCCTCTGTTCTACTTTGAATCTCCTGTTTCACTTTGAATCTCTCCTGTTTTACCTTGAATCTCTATTTCACCTTAAATCTCTCCTGTTTGACTTTGAATCTCTCCTGTTTGACTCTCAACCTCTTCCTCTGAACTCTCCTGTTCTTTGAATCTCTTCTGTTTCACCTTTAATCTCTCCTGTCTGAATTTGTGTTTTACTCTAAATCTCTCCTGTTTCACTTTGAATCTCCTGTTTGACTTTGAATCTCTCCTGTTTGACTTTGAATCTCTCCTGTTTGACTTTGAATCTCTCCTGTTTGACTTTGAATCTCTCCTGTTTGACTTTGAATCTCTCCTGTTTGACTTTGAATCTCTCCTGTTTGACTTTGAATCTCTCCTGTTTGACTTTGAATCTCTCCTGTTTGAATCTCTCCTGTTTGAATCTGTATTTTACTCTGAACTCTCCTGTTCTACCTTGAATCTCTCCTGTTCTACCTTGAATCTCTCTTTGACTTGCAGTCTCTGAGTCTGTGTGCCCAGTTTAACACTGGTCACCTCTTGGTACAGACTCATAAGCCTCAGCCAGGTTAATCACTGCATAATCAGGAATTGCAGCAAGCCATAATTAGAGATCTGTGTGTATTGTTCCTTTTCCTGCTTGGTTCCTGCAGTGGTTGTTACTGGAGCTTCTATCCCTTTCCATCAGCACCAGGTGCTCCCAGAAGAGCTGAGGGACCTACTTAGGCTGGATAAGCTCCTGTTCCCATCTAAGCTGAAATATAAATAGCTGAGGCAAAATATTTTCCTCTCTCTTCTGCAGGTGTAAAAAAAGAAAAAGAAAAGGGGAAACTAGAGGTTTATTGTGCTTTGAAGGTCACATGAATCTTGACAGCTCAAGAGTTCAATCCCTGGATGAGTTCAATCCACTGCTGGAGCCTTTTGCTGCAGGACTGATTCTCCTTCAATGTTCAGAGCCTAAACAATTCCTGTCTAATTTCCAGCCAGGCAGGAGAGGAGTGTCTGGCTCAAGGCTCTGAAGCTCATCAGTCATTTCTGCACAGAGCTCAGCTGTCTGGGTAGCAAATCTCCCACCCTTACTGCTGTCTGGGGGTGACAGAGGGACACTGCTCATCCCTGAGACCACCTCAGAGGCTTTTCCTGTCCTTCTCTTTGCTGCCAGTGACTGAAGCTACTGAAAATCATTAATAGAGAGTGGAAAAAAAATAGCTGTGCTAAAAGTGGTTTCTCTAATTTCCTTTGCTTTCAAGGCTTGGAATACAGGAATGCAAGTGCTTGTCACAACATTGAAGTGTAGCTGTTAGTGATTGACTAAAGTCTGTTTCTAAGCAAGGCTGAACACTTGGAGCTGCAAATTCTTCCTTCTGTTCCAGGCCTGATGGACACCAGAATAACTTGAGGAGTTCTGCCTATGAATCTCTGATGGAGATAGTGAAAAACAGTGCCAAGGATTGTTATCCTGCTGTCCAAAAAACAACCCTGGTCATCATGGAGAGGCTTCAGCAAGTGTTGCAGATGGAGGTGAGTGAACCAAAGCCCAATTGATTCCTCTGGTACAGAGCAGCTGTAAAGAGCATCAGCCACATGGTCCTTGGATTCCAGGGAGGTCTGAGGAGTCATCAAGCTTCGGTTTCAGCAGGTTTGGAGGGGGCAGGATGGATGCCAAGGAGCACAGGTGACATGGTTCAGGAGGGAGAGAGGAATTTTATAGGGGCAGAGAGTGCCAGGGTAAGGAGGAATAGGTTTAAACTGCCAGAGGGCAGGGTTGGGTGGGATATTGGGAAGAAATTCCTCCCTGAGAGGGTGTTGAGGCACTGGCACGGGTTTCCCAGAGCAGTTGTGGCTGCTCCAGCCCTGGGAGTGTTCCAGGCCAGGTTGGATTGGGTTTGGAGCAACCTGGGCTAGTGGAAGGTGTCCCTGCCCATGGCAGGGAGTGGGACTGGATGAGGTTGAAGGTCCTTCCAGCCCAATCCAATCCAGGATTCCATGTGCTTGTTTAGATTGGCTATTAGGGATAAATTCCTCCCTGTGAGGTGCTGAGGCACTGGCACAGGTTGCCCAGAGAAGCTGTGGCTGCTCCATCCCTGGGAGTGTTCCAGGCCAGCTTGGATGGGGCTAGGAGAGCAACCTGGGCTGGTTTAAGTTGTCCCTGCCCATGGAAATGAGATGAGATTTAAGGTCCCTTCCAACCCAAACCACTCTGGGATTCTATATTAAGCTTCTGCTCAGTCCCTCTAGTCTTCAATTTAAAATAACAAACACTTGAAGTGCAATCTGCATCTCCTGGTGCTGTCAGGATCCAATCCAGGCTCTTCACACGTGGCACTTTCTTCTCTTGCAGTCTCACATCCAGAGCACATCCGACAGAATCCAGTTCAATGATCTCCAGTCCCTTCTTTGTGCTACTCTCCAGGTAAATTCCTGTCTCCTGTGGTTGTGGCTATGGCAAAGAGGTGATTAGGGAGGTGTTTGTTGTTTTTTTTTCCCCCCTGAGGATGCAGAGTGGGTCCTGTTGCTGAGAGCTGAATGAGGAAAGTGGATCTTGTGGCCCAGCTGACACGTGGGAGGTGACACAAGGTTCAGGAGGCTTCAGTCTTACTCTCCTGACAAAAATCAGGGCAATTTTAATAAAGAACACTGTAGGCAGCCTGTGAAAGGCTGTACCAGAGCTTGTATGTTCTGTCAGATTTGCCTCTTGTGTTGGCTACAGCCTGAACAATTCCTTTGCTTGGCACAAGCCAAAAAAAAACCAAAAAAACAAACCAACAAAACACCTCCATAAAGGCTTTAATTCCTTCCTCTGCCTCTCGTGGTTGGTGTGTTCTGCTTGCAAATAGCACTGATTAAAATGCACTGAGTGTCCTGGAAATGAAACATCTGGGAATGAGGAGCCTGTGGGACTGGGAGTTGTTGGTGCAGTGCTTACTCCTACCAACTTCCACAGGGCTCCAGCTCAGCCCCAGTGCTCCTCAGGGTCTTCATTCAGGACTTGGAGGGAGGCTAAATTTGTAGACTATACTAATTTGGGAGGAGCTGTTGAGTCCTTTGAAGGCAAAGAGACTTTGCAGAGAATCCTAGACAAATGAGGGAGCTGAATAATCACCAACCACATGAAGTTCAACAAGGGCAAGTGCTGATTTTGGACCTGAAGTATTGCAGCAAGGTGTTCAATCCCACTGAGGAAACCTCAGCAGAGACTCTTTGTCAGTGGTAAAGAGTCAAATAGACTATTTTAGTACACATTGTTTTCCTATTCTGATGGAAATATAAACATCAGCAGAGGTATAATGTTGGTTAATATTTAAAAGGAAGGAGAAAATACCATCCCTGGGAGTGCTCCTGGCCAGGTTGGATGGGGCTTGGAGCAACCTGGGCTAGTGCAAGGTGTCCCTGCCCATGGAATTTGATGATTTCTAAGCTCCTTTCCAACCCACATCATCTGAAATTGTCTAAATCAAGACCAATTATTTAAACAGCCAAACTCTATCTCTTAAGAGTGAAGAATCACACTTGAAATCACCATTTTCCTCTGCAGATTAAGGAGTTTGTCCTTATCTTCCCATAGGAAATGTGTTTTGCCAACCAGTTTAAGTCTCTGATTTAGAAGCAAAACTCCTGTTCAACCCATGCAAGTTGACACTGCTGGGACAGAAAAGGGCCTTTTTTTTTTTTTTTTTTTTTTTTCCCCCCCCAGGATCCA